ATTTGGGGCTCTCCAGAGAGACCGTATGAAGCTGACACGTACCTCGTAGTAGAGAAAAGCTTCTCAACAGATTCTGACATTTTGAAATCAGCCAGCCAGCCCCAGGTCCCCCAGGGGTGAGGAAGTGCCAGGCTCTGGGTGCGGTAGTGACGGTGGACAGGACGATGTCATAGAAGAGTCATCTACCTGATTACCTAATCACCTTTGTCAGCAAGAGGCTGGAGAGCTGGGCAGCCGGCTGAATAAGATGGGGGGGGACCCCAAATGGAAATCCCATCTCCCAGGGGCCCCAAGACCCCTCCCTCACATCTACTAAGGATTGGACTGGTGCTTAATTAGCATCTGAAAATAGACATTCTGCCCTTAAGGCGGACATCCTCTTCCCCCTTAGGAAAGCAAATCAGGTGGGTAAGGCAATAATTGCTTAATAAGACGAAGGCTGAGGGGCACGGAGGGGCACCTGCGTGGCTCAGTTGGTTAAGCCTTCGACCTTGGCTCAGGTCATGATCTTCCGGTTCATGAGTCTGAGCCCCGCGTCGGGCTCTGTGCTGACAGCTCAGAGCCTGGAGCCTGCTTCGGATTCTGTGTCTCCTGCCAAGGTATTTATGCTCCCACGGTGTTTTGTGCTCCTTTGCATTTTAGATTAATTGCACTGTATCCCATGTCTGTCTCCCCACATTTGTCTGGGAAGGTCCTAAGGGCAGGGAGGGCCACGTTTACTCATCTTTGCTTCCACCAGGGCTGTGCACGTGGCTGGCATTGGGTGAGTGTGTGGTGACAGGTAAACTGTTTTTTTAATCTACCAGCCCATGCCAGATACAATTGACGATGAGCATCACAATCACACACAGCGTTGTAATGACCAGGACCTTGGGTCTCACCGGCCATGCTCACTGTTGAACCAAACTATTAGTAAGAGAAATAACCACTGGATACAGATTAACATCTCAGCCTCCTGAGACTGATTTAAAAGAAGGTGGCTGGTTTTCCTTGAATTAGGACAAAGGAGAGAATCAAGGACGGGGCAGACCTCACTATTCCTTCAGGGAGCGAAGAGTCTTCTGAGTCAGAGAGTTCTTTCTCTTGTCTAGCCTGCATCCGCCCTGCTTCACTTGGACTCTGTTGCCTTTTGCTCAGTCCCCGGGGGCGGGGCGGGGGCAGGGAAATGTGGACCAGTTCCTCTTCCACCTCCTGCTGTCTCTTCCTGACTCACGAAAGCAGGTAGTGGCTGGGTCTCTCTTTGTGTTATTAACAACGCTGTCCCCCACCTAAGCCTAAAAAAGCAGCCAATGTGGGTTACAACCGAGAGGAAGGAAGCCCATCTCAGGAGCTCCAGGTAAAGAGGCTTTGAGCAGGTAGAGAAGAGGCTAAGCATATACGCTGGCCTTTTAGGACACGGTGAAGAGCATCACGTTTTCTATTAATGTGCTCAGCCTGGAAACATTTCACCACACTGTGGCTATGGAGACGTCCAGCAGGAGGTAACGGGGCTGTTTCCTTTAGCTCTGGGGCTGGATTCCAATTTACCCAGGCGCTTGGATCCCTGCCCCCTTCCAGCCGTATCTCTGAGAGGCATCTGAACACGGAGGCTCAGACAACTGGGCCGGGATGATTGCGCCGGCCAGTGGTTTTGGGGCCATAGAAAACACCGGGGATTTGCTGACAATAAAGGAGTGAATGTACATCCCAAGCCCTGCTGCTCTGTATCCCATGCGTCCAGTCTCCTGATTCTAAAACTGCCTGGCCGTCTTACCCACAGGAAGATACAGTCTCTTCCAACTTTCCCAGCACCTTCTCTCCTCCAAGCCAAGGGAGTCGCCATGTTTGAGTCCCCTGCCCCCCTGCCCAAATACGTATGTTGAAAGCTAAACCCCCAAGTTGATGGTATTGGGAGGTGACTAGATCACGAGGGTGGAGCCCCCAAGGATGGGACTGATCCTATAAAAGAGACCCCAGATGTGTAGACATGCAAGATGGCACCTGCCATGAACCAGGAATGGGCTCTCATCAGACACTGAGTTGCCGGCACCTTGATCTTGGGAGTTCCCAGCCTCGGGAGCTGTGAGGAATCAATACCTGTTGTCTGTAAGCCCCCCAGTTTATGGGATTTGGGAAATAATGCAACCTGCCTGACCTATGACACCTGATCATCTCACCACAAATCTCCAAAATGGGGGCCAGTGGTCGTATTAATCACTCTTGCCTCGTTCCCAACACTGAGAACCCCACTACTCCTCGGGCTTGGTGTTCAAGGTTATGACTTTCAAGCTGTCACTGTCTAACAGAGGTGGACAGCATAAAAGGAGATGGCTCTCGTCCTGCTGTTGCTAAGATCTCGGCAGTGACTTTCAGGGTCTTTCTAGTGGGGTCAAGGCTTCCTTTGCTTTGTCTCTGTAAGTCGGATCTCGGGGGTTACTGCAAACCAGCACTTAGAAACTCTGATGCCTGGAGGGGACAGGAAGGAAGGCAAGGGAAGTCAGCAAAGCAGGGTGGCTCCTTTCAAGATGGCTGTGTATTAAGCACATAAGAATATTCTTCATTGTTCTGAAACACGAAATCTTTCTCACATCTCCTGAAACCTATAAATCTCTTGGTCTGACTCTTATCACAAAGTCATGGCTGTGAAAACATTTCCCTTTCGTCCCAAGAGAATCAGTGGCATTGATGTTATAAAAAGTGACCACAGGGGCGCCTGGGTGGCTTAGTAGGTTAAGCGTCCGACTTTCGCTTAGGTCATGATCTCGCAGTTCGTGAGTTCGAGCCCCGCGTCGGGCTCTATGCTGACTGCCAGCTCAGAGCCTGGAGCCTGTTTCAGAGTCTGTGTCTCCCTCTCTCTCTGACCCTCCCCTGCTCACGCTGTCTCTCTCTCTCTCTCCTAGAAATAAATAAAAAAATATTTAAAAAAAATAAAAAATAAATAAAAAATAAAAAGTGACCACAGACAATAGCCTTACTGAGAGGGATGTGAGAGGGAGTAGTGGGTGCTGGGGCAAAATGGAGAGTCCAAGCTCTGTCTAGAGGGACGGCTGTTACTCAGTCCATGCAGATGATTGTCCCACCAGAACGTAGGCTCAAGGTTGGGGCACCTGGGTGGCTCAGTCCGTTAAGCAGCCGACTTTAGCTCAGGTCACTATCTCACGGTTCATGGGTTCAAGCCCCACGCTGGGCTCTGTGCTGACAGCCAGCTCAAAGCCTGGAGCCTGTCTTCAGATTCTGTGTCTCCCTCTCTCTCTGACCCTCCCCTGATCATGCTGTGTGTCTCTCTCTCTCAGAAATAAATAAAAAATATTAAAAAAAAAAAAAAAGAACATAGGCTCAAGGTGGTCAGCTTGTCCACAGTTTCTAAGAGAAGCTGTGATTAGGATACAAATGGTCTCTTAGGACATTGAAATGCAGACCTCACATTTCATCTAGCCTGGGGCCGCCTCATTCTGTCCTTTTTATTCATCTTGGGAGGGTGTGAATTATGGTGATACCCCTTTATTTGCAGTTAAAGAAAATAGAAAGAAAAATGCTAACTTCATGTGTTTATTTAGTCATGAATGAAAAGTAACCCCCTCCTGCTCACGGTGTGGCCCTGAGTTTTGAGGACAGTGCAGCAGAAATCTACACTGGCGCTCAGCCCCCAAGCACTCAGAGGTCGGTCGCTGCAAGAGAAAGAGGAACTAGCCAATGGGAGCGGGGTTCTGATCTACCACAGGCCCCTGACAACCTTATCTTCCGGGTCAGCTATCGGCAGCTGAGGGAAGCAATCTCCTCTGAGGTTCTGGGATGTCCCATCCTCCCCTGTACGGCTATGCACAGAGGCTAGGGGTCACTGCTCAGGTGAGCTGGTAGGAGTGAAGGGTGCCATCACATACACGCGTCAGAAGGCAGAACGTGGCAATTTCCCCTGTGGCGTCGAGGGCTTGAAGAGAGAGGAAGATGGCCTGCTGAGCGACCTGGGCCATCTCCCCATTCTGACCTCCCATTCATCATTCCAACCTGCACCTCATCGTAGTGCAGAGGCTGGCGGGGTGGGGGGATTCACACGCTTTAATGGGGTTGCATCAGCCCAGTCTGTTAGCTACCCAAGGTGAGAAGAAGGCACTGCTGATGTCTCGCCAGGTCTATCCATGCTCACAAACAGTATGGACTCAGCTGTCAAGGCACATCTCAGCAAATTGGCAAAGACCGAAAAATTGGTAATACTGGCGGGGCCGTGGGGAACCCACCACTATCCTGCTTGGCTGGTAGATTTGGGACAATCTTTACGGTGGTCAGTTTCTCAGTGTCTGCCCAGAACACGAATGTGTATAATCTGGGGCCCAGAAATTCCACGTCTAGGAATTTACTCTATTGAAGAGCCTGCCTGTGTGCCACAGCAAGGCATGTGTGGAATGTCATCACGAAATAGTGGCAGTGACCCAAGTGTCCATTATGGAGGACAGGCTCAGTGAGTGAGGCAGAGCCACCAATGGAATATTATACAGCCACGAAAAAGAACCAGGACTCTCCTTGCCCGCTAATTGGGACTCATCGCCAAGATATGCTGATCAGTGAAAAAAACCAACGTGCAAAGCAATGTGTATAATGTACTCTCACGTGTGGGGAAAGAATACGTGCGTGTATTCGTCAGTCTACGTATAAAGTCTTACCAAAAGGACCACAGAAATGATGAATGTTGCTTGCCTCTGGGGTGGGAAACCACGTGGCTGGGATTCGGGGAGAGGAAACCTTTTTACTACGTGTCTCTACCCTGTAAATTTGGAGTGCAAATGGCATGTGCCTGCCTTTCCTGGTGGAAACAGAGTTAAAGTCTGAAGAATGGCAAGTTCGCAAGCAAAACAAAACAAACAAAGGCCAACTCCATATCCCAGGATACAGGCTCCTGCCTCAACGCCCCTGAGCCATGGTGGTTCATTCCCACCCCAACGCGGTCGGACATCTGGCATCCCTCCCCTCAGCTTCAACACGGAGAAGGGTCAGGAAGCCACGGGCGGAACGTGAGAGCCACTTACCTGCTCCTTCTCTGAATACGGGTTGTTGAGGACGGCGGGCATGTGGCCCTTCCCCCACAGGTCACTGAGGACTCGGTCATTCTCCACGCCGAGGGACAGTGGTTTGTGCGACTTGCCGTCCAGACCTCTGAAAGGCAAAGCAGGGGGGGGTGAGGAAGGCGACACATCGGGAATGACAGGCTGCTTGCCCCGCTCTAAAAGTTCCGAGTCTGTGGACAGAACCTCCACGGGTCACCCACGGGACCCTACGTAGAGCCGGCAAGCTGTGGGCGCCCAGAGCGCCGCTCTGTGCTGTCGCCAAGCCCAGGTGGAAAGGCAGCCCCACTGTCAAGTGCAGAGCTCGCTGGCGTCAGCACCGATGCTTGGCGTGGACCCACCTTCGTGGAACTGGCTTCAGAGTGGCCCTGACGGGGCTTTTCCCCCCCCTCCCCATTTCGAAGACCTAGGAACACAGAAGGCTCATCTCCGGGCAGACCCCCTGGACAACTTATGCCCACAGATAAGACAAATGAGTCAGGAGAGACAGGGAAGAAAACAAGTCCTGGGGTCCAGGGTGATAAGTTATCCCAGTGCTGAATAAGCACTGATAGTAAGACTAAGGAGGCCAGCCCGAGAGAAACAGAAATGATTCCGAAAATGAGGGGAACAGACATAACAACACTATTAATAATGACAGCTAGTGTTTATTGAGCACTCCTTATGTGTCAGGCACTTTACAAGTGTTTAAATTTAATCCCTTGGACAACTCTATGAGGTGGGTATGAGTATTAACCACTATTTTAGAGATAGTGTAAGTGAGGCAAAGGCTAAGATGCTCAAGGTCATAGTTTTTCAGCCCACTCTTCACATGAGTTCTGAAGTGGGAGCTCTCGTTATTACCATTCATTGGCATCATTATCATCAACATCATTAGCATCTTCATTCCTATAATCATAAGTCTCATAGTCATCATAAGACGAGGCGACTAAGGCTCAGAGAGGTTAAATCACTGGCTTAAGTCACACAGCCAGGGATGATGGAGTTGGGATTCAAACCCAGACTGGTTCCTGACTCGAAAGGCTGACTTCTTAACTGAAACCTTTTTCTCGTTCTCTGCTCTTGAACTTGGACTCGGGAGGGGACTATCTCAGCCAGGGTCCACAGCCTGGCCACCCTCTAAGATGGAGAGAAGTCATGGCTGAGATGGGACTGGCTTGGCATCAGAATCCAGACCTCCTGACCAGCCCTGCCTCACCTCTTCCTCCCTCTGAGCGCTGTCCTCTGGTTTCCTGGCAACGGGCTCCTTTTGAACTTGCCCGTCCACTTTTACTCTGACTGTAGCATCTGTCTGCTCTCCATCTTGGGGCACCATGGCTTGCTCTGCGGCTCAGTCTTGGTTTGGGCCCCAGGTATAGAAGCTGACCCTCACCTGGCCCTCTGTTCTACATTCCCAGCTTTGGGAACTTAGAATCCTGGTTCTAGAATTTCCCCCCAACCCCTAGTCTGGCGCTGACAGTCATTTGGGATCAATCGGAAGCCAGGGATGTAGCTCTGAGTGCATGGCCCCGAGTGGCCCCCGTGGCTGCTCACCTGGGGCCAGCCAGACCTCCCCTCCTCTCCATATCCCAAAAATCCCGGTGGCCTGCGTCAGAGCCACTTTGGCTCTTCTGGTTGGAGAGGTCTGCAGTTGTCAGAGGGAACATTCTGTTTTACCCTCTTCAAAATGTCACCAAAACACACGGGGAGTGGTTCTTGATTACAGACATTTCACAAGTCAATGGTTTACCTACATGGTGATAAACAGAGAAATTGTCTGTTGAGAGAGCCGCTCGAAATGTCACTCTGCTCCCTCTCAGCTCTGAGACTCCCGATCCCATGATACCACGCGACTATAAGTGGGGATTCAGCGGCGAAGAGAGAAGGTTAGTATTGTTTGAGCATCTGTAACATGCCAGGTGCTTGCACAGAACTGACTTCCTCTAATGTCAACAGACAACAAAAGCCCTATTTTACAGATGCGAACACTGAGCCCGGAGAGGTTGTGTAAGTTTCCCGCGGTCCCAGAGAAAGCACAAAGAAGGGCTGGGGTTTGAAACTAGGTCTGATTGATGCTCGGCCCAGATTCTTCCTTTTTTTGAACAGAGACAGGAAAAACTAGTTACTCTAAGCCAGAGGCTAAAGAGCAAGTAATCCAACATCTCTTGCTGAATGAGGCCAGTTTGCAAGAATTGCAGAGAACAATTACCTAGGCAACTCTGAAATGGCTCATGTGCCTGTCTTGTGTGCGTCTTCAGGGACAGCTGCTTCTCTGTCGCCCTTCCCCCCTTTTTAAAAAGCCTTTCACACCTCTGTTTAAATAATGCATTTGAAGTGTTTTGTGAACTACACACTTATTTAAGAGCCCTGAGCGAGGAGCAGGGGAAGAATATTTTTACTATGGGATCAGAGGGAACATGCAGGCTGGGCGATTCTGTTTCCATTTACCCAGGGGCAAAACCAGAAGTGCGTTTCAGTATTTCCCAACTCTCAGTCTCGCACAAATGGACTCCTCCTTCTTGAGAGGCACTGGCTTGGGTATGGCTAAGGACCCCGACTCATGCTTCTCAGTCCTTCCCATCCTTGCTCTATGCCCATCTCGACATCTACGAGGCTTTATTGATCAGTTACCCCTTGTTCCCAGATGGGACTGAAGAGCCTGTCTTCACTAAGTGGCTTCTATCTCCTTTCAAGTGTCCTTAGCCCCCTAGAAAGGCCATCGTCCAATGGGCTTGCATTCCAGGTGGACCGGCAACCCCAGAGCCATCATGTGGTCATGCTTGGTGGTTCTCACTTCTGGGTGCATTGGAATCAACGGTTAAAACTCTCCTGAACTTGCCCTTTGGAGGGTCTGACATAGTGGGTCTAGGGGAACCCTGGAATCTGCATTTTCAAAAGCACCCCACATGGCTCACAGACCTCCTTGGAGACCCACCTTCCCGGGAGGGCTCTGGGCCTGACTCTGGCCGTGACCAGCAAGGCTCCCTCCTGGTCGGAAATGCCAACATCTCCCCAAGCTCTGTCTCTTCTTTCCCCCCCTAAGACCAGGCATGGAGGTCCATCTCCCACTTGGCGAGCATTTTCTATGCTTTCTGGCAAGGACTAAACCTAAGCTCCTTGGCCTCCACTTTGCTAGCTGGACAATCCTACCCAAGCCAACAGTCAGTCTGGCATCTCTAGACCTTCTGAGAACCTTTGCCAGGTCCTTCCAACAGGGGCTTCCCGGAGGCCAAGCCTTGGATTCTCATACAGGGGGGTGGGCTCACCTCCACAGGAAGTCTGCACTGGGCTGATCACCAATCAACACCAAGTACCCAGGGGCAGGAGGGCCAGGCTTGTGTGCGGGGCACAGTCTGGAGGTGGGGGCCATCTGCTCTGGCCCGACCAGGCCAGGAGGCCGCTAAGGAGCAGCTGGGTCCCCTGCATATCTCCACAGACACCACACTGTTCCCTGACCCCCTTTCTCACCATCCACCCTCCGCCTGGCCATGGGTGCTGGGAGCTAAGTTAAAGTAGGAAGACTTGGGGGCTTTGGAAAGCGAATCTGGGGTCTTTGCAAAGCTTTGTTCTAGAGCTCTCCACGCTGGAGTGGGGGCAGGTCGTGACAGGGAACAGGATGCTCCCGAGAGCTGGAATTTTACTGCAATTCTCCAGCTGAGACGCGAGGTGAGGGCCTCTGGGCTCAGCAACAATCATGACTGTAATTGCGCACATCATGAACGCTGGGCAGGAGCCTCCAACTCCAGTGGTGATAGCGTCTGGGCTGAGCAGATTGGCTGGTTTTGGATGCCGGGCAACTGGAGAGCCCGCGCCAGCCCCTGCCCAGCCCCCAAGGCTGGCTGTCTCCCTGCAGTATAGACTTGGTGCTAATAGCTCTTCTGATACTATTTTTTGAGAGGCTGGAAATCAGTTTTAAGGTGAAACCTCTTGATTTCTCTAGTTTGCCACAAAATCGCTGTTTCAGAGAACTCTGCAGGCCCAATAACACTCGAGGGAGATCTGAGTGTGACCCTCGACCCCCAGTGTGTGACCCCTGGCCTCAAGGGATGTCTGAGTGCCTCTCCCTGGAATGATGCTCTGGAGACGTTGAGTGGAGCAGTAAACTTTCCAGGTGGGGCTTGACGGGAGGTTTGGCCTGTGATGAGCATGCCTGCCATTGACCTTTAGGAGGAACCTGAATGGGAGTTCTGGAAGGAATCTTCGGGCTCATCTGGTCTACACACTAGTCTTACACATGGGGAAACTGAGGCCCAGAGAGGCCGAGGGGCTTTCCTAAAAGATGTAGCTAATGAGTGGCAAAGGGGGGACTAGAAGGAAGGTCACTCAGTCCAATGAGACCTCAGAGTCATGGCCAGTCTGGAGCCTGGCCACAGAACTGCTCAACAGGGCTTGTTGGATGGGGGCAGGGGGCTGAAAACTGCCCCCGAAGACATCAAGTCCTAACCCCCGGAGCCCACACATGTCACCTTACATGGAGAGAGGGTCTTTACAGGGGTGATGACGTTAAGGATCTTGGAATGGGGGGCGGTTATCTTGGATTGACTGGATGGGCCGTTAACTGTAATAGCCATAAGGGTGCCGTCACACGTGTCCTTATGAGAAGGAAGCGGCAGGAGACCCCTCATGGGAGACAAAGGCCACACGTGACTCCAGAAGCAGGATGCTGTGTGTTGGCTTGGAAGGGACCACCAGCCAAGAAAGGCAAGGAATGCAGCTCTAGAAGCTGGGAAAGATCAGGAAACAGATCTGCCTCTAGAGCGTCCACATGTAAGATCTCCAGAGCTGTGAGAGAATAAACATGTGTTGTTTTAAGCCACCACGTTTGTGGTCATTTGTTACCACAGCGAGGAGAAATGGATACAATGAGTATCTGGTGTCAGGGATGGCCTGGGATTGTGTGTGTGTGTGTGTGTGTGTGTGACCTCACTGCCCAGCTCTCTCTTCCTACTCACTACACTCACGTCCTACAGACCTTCTTTCCATTCCTTGAACATCTCAACCCTGTTCCTGCCTCAGGGCCTTTGCTCCCGCTGTATCTTCTGCCAGGAACGCCCTTCCCTAGATTTCACATGGTTCGTACCTTCTGGCCTCAGTATAAACGCTGCCTCTTCA